CATTACTATTGTATTGGGACTGATACTAACCCTCCTCATTATAGAGGTGTCCTTATTTTAGAGTGTCCACAATAGGAGGAGGTTATACTGTATAAGAATTTTGTTACACTAATGTATCTTCACTAAACTAATAATTAATATACTGTTGATATATGCTACGTATGATAATAATTTTGAGTGGATTCCAACTACGTGTTACAAGCCTCAGTAACAAGTAATGAATATCATTATAGTCCGACCCACGATAGCCTTGTAACGTTTCATGCATTTATAAAGGGACCAGTAAAGGATGAAGGATGTGTTATTATTTGTTGTAATTTTTTACAAAAATTTTTGAATGGGTAATTCATTGCAATTGCCCTGCTCTAATTAAACAATTAATTGAATATAATTAAATACACATGAGGACATTTCATAATGTCCCAATTGGTACAAGCCTATACCAAAGTACCTCTGAAATGAGGACACCTCTGTATTAAGGACAGGTAGTGTGGGCCCAATGGTGTCCTTAATAAAGAGGCTACACTGTACATGTATTAAGGACAGGTAGTGTGGGCCCAATGGTGTCCTTAATAAAGAGGCTACACTGTACATGTATTAAGGACAGGTAGTGTGGGCCCAATGGTGTCCTTAATAAAGAGGCTACACTGTACATGTATTAAGGACAGGTAGTGTGGGCCTAATGGTGTCCTTAATAAAGAGGCTACACTGTACATGTATTAAGGACAGGTAGTGTGGGCCCAATGGTGTCCTTAATAAAGAGGCTACACTGTACATGTATTAAGGACAGGTAGTGTGGGCCCAATGGCGTCCTTAATAAAGAGGCTACACTGTACATATTTCTTACCAAGATGAGCTGTTCCTTTCTTAATATCCACTTCTCTCGGTTCAGTTTCAACTGATTCAGCGGAGTGATCACCAGTGTCACTAGTATCAGGGCTGAGACCGCTCTCAACGAAGCTGTCCTGAGACTGGGAGGGGCTGAATATAGTAGCCACACCTCTTTCCCCACCCATCCCAACGCTGGTTGCGACAGAGCTGGCCTTGCTGCTGGTACTCAGTTGAGTTTTAAGAGAAGACGAGACGTCTCTTTGTTGATGAGGAGGTTTTACTTTCATTAGAGGAGAGACCTGCTGCTTAGGACTGGGTTGATTACTAATAATAAACAAATAAAATAATATAAATAATTAATGAGTTAATTTTAAGTTTTTAACACAATTTTACAAGTAAAGAATGACCCACTTTAAAGTTCTAAAATTTTTGGAGTTGCTCCAAAATCAGGCCAAAGTCCCTGGGACTTGGGCCAAATTTTGCCAAAAATGAAAAGTAGAGAATTCTCTATTTTTATTACATTTTCTGATACATATACATGTTCTTATGCTGCGTAGAAAGTTTGAGCTGATTCTGATCAAATTTGGATTTTTTACGAATTTTTAAAGTTGCTCCAAAATTGGACAAAAGTCCCTATACTATAGTACCTGGTCTCGGGCCAAATTTTGCCAAAAATGAAAAGGAGAAAATTCTCCATTTTTATTACATTTTCTGATACATGTACATGTACTTACAACGTATGTGTAGAAGTGCCTTACCTTGAGAAGTGAAGGTCCTGGTGACTAGAACTGCCAACTAAAGTTTCTTCAGAAGTCGATTCAACATGTCGTAGATTATGATAGGTGACTCCGCCCCCAGACACGCCCATATCTCCCCTCGCCGGCTCGTCACTTCTAGTACGAGACAAGAAATTCATTCCGGATTGAGTCTGGGTCTTTGGTTTAGCAATATCAGGGGGTGTGGCACTTCTGATCCCGTCAGTTGCTGACGCGGCACGTCTCTCGGGTAAATCGAGAAACTGAGAGACTTCATCGGGTTCTGACCTCACGTGAGTGTGAGCCTACGAATAAATAAATAAATAAATGAATAAATAAAATACTAAAATTACTGATATTTCTTTCTTACATGTTTCTTTCCATTTTTTCGATCAAATTCCTCATCATCATCCAATCTGTCCTCATCAAGGAGATGATCTGGTGACAAACTGTTTGACGTAGCAGTTGAATCGAAATCAGGACTGAACAACTCTCGTCTGTTAATACCCAGAACTACAGTGCCGTCCTACGGAAATAATAAATACTTAATAATGTACGTGTGGGTGGGTATGATATCGCTATATTTTTCGTGGTTAAGCAAAGTGAACCAAATCGTGGCTTTTATTTTCGTGATTGTCAGAGCACTGCTGCATGGTGAAAGATATGGTAC